ACAACCGCTCAAAAAATATCTTGCATGTTAGGCGATTTTGTAAAACAACTTTATTTCTTTGAATCAGACATTCTTCCATGACAGATATTCCTGTTCTTCGTACCAAACACACATACACACCTTTCCCTGATCACTGTGATTGAAGCTGCATCAACGAGTGGTCAGTTCGCTGTTGGTGATTATGCCGTTCATTTTTCTACTGACTTCATTCGTTTGCAAAGAAAATGTTCAATTTTTACTTAAAAAGCCCTTTCATTTAAGCTGATAACGCCCTTTCAAAGCTATTTTTTAACGGCACCACCCATCGGCATCATGAGATACGCCAGAATTCCTTATCAAAAAATTCTTAAAGCACCGGATACCGCCTGCAGAAACAGCTGAAGCCACATAAGGGAAGCCCTTAACAAATTTTAGTTCAAAACAGCTGAAACTCTTTTCAGAAGGAAAGCTAAAAACTAAGCCCTTCATTAGATTTGTTACTGTCGCCACAACTTCAACAATTTGTCTTTGCCGCCACTTGCCACACGTGCACCATCGGGGCTCCAGTCCACTGCATACACTTCATCACCATGCCCAGGCAAATCCATACACAGCCCTCGTTTGCGTACATCCCAAACCTAAACAAATCCTGTAGATCGTTTACCAATTTTTATGCGTTTTTGCTGTGCAACGCTACAGCGCTACTACAGTGAGCAAAAACACATATTGTTAAGAGATCACTGTGCGCGTGTGTTCGGAAACGAATGAACTTTGTCACCCACTTTCAACTCAGCAACCAGGGAAGTAGGAAGGCTGGAATTTTGGGGTTACATTTCCGTTCCGTGTGCTAACCTCCCGTTTTAAAATCTTCGCTTATGCGTACCTAGATCTCACGTACGGAACCCCAAAAAGTATGGAAAACTTCACTGGTGGGAAACGATTTCGTGAACCGGCCAAGACAGAAAGCTGAAACTTTATAGGCATATTTGAGAAAATAAGTGTTGTTCGTGTGGAAAATCGTATACATAAATTGAGTTTCAATTTGCAATTGCGCTACGACTTAGGGCATTTCGAAGATATTTGTGGCAAAGTGGCTATTCCACTTACTAGACAAGCTGCGAAACTGGAACTTTGCAGGGATATTTTACATACACGTGTGGTCGTAATTCAGCTTGGGCATCTTTCGGTTGGACATCCTAGTACAAACCAAGCGCCTACAAATAATTTATACAAACATACTTTGAGCGTTGAATCTGCGGAGCCGGAGACAATCAGTCGGCTATCGGCGGACCAAGCAATTTGGTAAACTGCCTGAACATGTCCTCTTAATGTATCAATGAAAGCGCCAGTTCGTCCACACCATAATTTTATGGATTTGTCGAACGATGCTGATGCGATATAACGTGTGTCCGGAGAAAACACTACCTAGAAAGAAATCTTAAAATTTGCGTAAATAGTTCCCATACTCTGTTAACTTCCTTAGCTGCAATTTATAGTGTTTCTCTCCAACTGTGCAGCTAGCAACTTTTCCAATTGCTATGCCGATACGGACAACGCCAGTCTATTCATTAAAATCCATTCAGTGTTGAAAATATACATGAGAAAATGTATAACATAGATTACATATGATAACAAAAACTTTTTACGAATGAAGGTCGATTTTACCATCAGTGATAAAAGGGAAAATTTTTAATTTTACGAAATATCTATTTTAATATTTCGCAACTGTTGCACAAAAAACTTCTCTACCATCAAATTTGCTACCTGATTAACAAGTTGCTGATGACCAGTCATCCGTGTTTTCGATTTCTTGTCTTCAGCAGGCTTCCAAAAAAACAATGTAAAATCATCTGATCCAGAAACCAGTATTTCACCAGATGAACCTTTTGCTTTTTCATATCTTCGTAACGCCTCATTCTGACACTTTTTCTGCAAAAAAAAAGATCTTATTTCTCCACTATTATAGTGCTTCACTCTGAGAAACAGGAATTGTAACAGC